GAACGGGTCAAACGCAATGAAATTACTGGTGTAAACGAGACGATAGCTGCTATTGACACCATAAACATGATTTTAGAAGTATGATAGAGATGGTTCTTATTTGCTTTGGACTTTTTTATTTTCACATTTGTGTTTTTACACATCTTGTCCGGGCTGCCGTTTAAATCTGTTATTGGCTCAGGATAAAGCGTTTTGCAACTTTGCTCGTCAGACATTTCGGCAAATATTTTCATTCGGTTGTTTTCAATGCCAAATCTATCATTTTCACTGTGTTTCCATCTCATCTGTCGCCTTATACGTACTGCTATACAGATGTAGAGACTGAATGTGGTGGTAAAAACCCCAACGAAAATGGTGGCAAACGTGAAATTGTTAATTAAGGGAAATAGTGTTTCCTTCATATCATCTGTTACTATACATTGAAAAATTGTAACATTATAAACTTTATGTTTTCCTTTTTGTATATCATACATAATTGCAGAAATCCAAGAACAACTCAGTCCAACACCTACTGATGCAAGGCACATACATTTTGCTGCTTTAAGTGAAACCTGCCAATTCAAAGGGTAGCAAACCTTTCTGAATCTGTCAAATGCAATACACAGTAGGACGAAGCAAGAGGTCATCGTTGTCCATGTAGTCATTGAAATCGAAATCTTACATAGCCATTTATTATTGTAAGTGAATCTATAAAACTGCATGACGAAATGTAGCGGCAGACATATACAGCATGTAAACAAATCAACCGAAGATACAAATGTTACAAAGATGCGATATGTAGACCTGCTTTCAGTTTTTGCAAACACATAGCATACCAACGAATTTCCAACGAGTCCGATAATACTTATAACAAAAAGATAAATTATCAGTGGAATCTGTCGTTTTACTTCCTCCTTGTTCAATTCATTAAGAGTAATCGAATCATTTTGAAACACCATCTTTTTGGATGTTATCACAAATGCTGCAGGTAGCTAATGTTTGATTAATCTATGCTTCTGTATCCTACAATAACATAAAATAAGAAAAACGACTGCACGCTATACCCTTGTCTTATTTATCAATTCAATCTGATTAAAAATCCTGATAATGATAATAATATTTTATTCCTACCAGCGTGAATTTTTAAAAGTGCATCTTTGCGAAATTCTCTAGACATCAACAAGTTAATAAAGAAAAGATTGTTTGAGAAAATGCAAAACGATTATGAGTGACTGCTAATTAAGTTTTTAAAACAGGATGAACATAATTAATATTATTTTTTTCCTGGTGTTTTGTGCTTCCTTTATCGTGTCCTCTGAAATTATAATGTCCAATGTTATCTCTATTGAATATACATGTGGTTTACTGATAAATCCAATCTTCGGGAGGAGGGGCGAACGCGTTGGGGAGATGATTGGTGATCGTAATTAATCAGTCGAACAAAGTAACTGATCAAGTGTATACGTTTTTTAACACATTCCTTAATTTGCTGTTTTAACTAATTTTAAATCTCTGTTTATCGTCATACGGAGAATTTGTGTCAACATTATACAAATATCCCTTTACTGAACAACAATACTATGCTTTTCAATACAAATCACAAATAAAATGTTAACAGAAACAATTTCATTTACTAAATTAATAATTAATACTTGAGGTTCATTCATTTATGAGACGCCACGGCATTTTGGAGGCAAGTTAAATTTACATGATAGTTTACAAATAGAAATTGACAAATAAGTGTAGAGCTGTTCTTCACTTGTCGTGCCTTTCAGATTTCAGACTGCTGATAATGGACAAGCAAAACAAAGAAAAGATATCTACAACATGTCCGCCGCCGTTTTAAGCACGAAATCATATAATCCTTTGTTAATTTGTTTTCTGATCTGTGTGACATGAGATAAGGCAGAAAAAACCCAGGTTTTCAGTACGACATCGTAGACAAAAACATATGGAAGTTCATTTCCGTACAAAAATGTTTTCACGTCACTGCAACGTCGACGAACAAAGTTATTTCTATTGAAATTTAAAAAAAATATTGGATTGCATTGAGGACAGTATTTTCATCTAGGGCGTTCTCGGACTTACTCAATTTGCGTTAAAATTCACAAATTTTACGCACCAAAATATAATATCATTTCGATCCTTTTTGATTTGTATGGTTTGGCAGAACAGGTTAAAGTAAAAGCATGTGCACTTTTTTGCCAAGACACAAAAATGCTTAATGAGAACAGTGTGTTTTTCGAGGAAATGAATAAATTTTAGACAAATATATGGTATAAATGTGCACTTTATTTAATTTATACATTGTTCTAAAACAGGAATTATCTAAAATTTTCATTTTCTTTTTCAACCTTGCCAATTTTAGCATGCATGCATTTCTGAACATAAATTACATCTTGAATTAAAGAGAAAAAATGACAGCTGCATAAACATGTAGTCCCTATCCCTTTTTATTGGCAGTTTTACACCGGTTCTTTTTGTGAGAGAATGGTTTGAACACAAGTTATTGGTCTAGACCTTCATGAAATGATAAACAAAAATAATTATATCCAGTCCTGCTATGTCAAAAAAACTTCAGTGGAGTCCCTGTAAGGAACAAGAACTCTCCTTGGAGGCTTGTGCTCAGCTTTTCTCAGTATTTTATAGTAATAATGAAAATGAGGCACACTTCTGGTAAACATTTTGGCAGAAGTTTTTGCCTTATTGTTCAACAAATATTTCTAGTTTGAAGTAAATATGTGTGATGTTTTCTGAGAAAATTATGAAAATATACAATAAATTAAAAAGGTAAAGTTATTTTTAGAAATGTTTCCAAAGAACGGCTTAGTGTCAGAATTATGGCGACTTCCTTTTCTATATGTTTTGGGTGAATTTTCATAATTTGACAGTTGATTTTTCTCTAGTTATTTCCATTTCCTTTCCAATTAATCAAAATTATTGATTTTTTCAAATGTACCAATTACTGATCTACGAAAATATAAAAAATACTTTGATATTGTCTCTATCGATGACAGCTCAATTGTCAAATGTTAACATATGGCAATTTAGACTGCATATGATTGTCATGTTGTAAATATAGAGAATAGCATGCTACCGTCTTTTGCTATCACTAGTTTGCTCCTTTTTGACAAAAATATTCGGTCAGCTTTTGTGTAAAGATTCATATCCAATAAGCTATCATGTGATTGTAAGTATTCACTTAAAATGATGTATCAATTTGGTATGCATTTTAATGGACAGATAACTGATTAGTTTTGCTTAATTCTCTCCCTTTAATTTTAAAATAGTTTCTTTATATTTAAAAACAAAAAGCATCACACATTTGCTATAAACTTGAAATTCTTGACTGCTATCAAGGACATGTAATTCTGCCAGGCACTTCGTTGAATTATGCCACCTTTTCTACTTTCTTTTTATTTCTGAGTACAAAGGGGCAAGCTGTCTCACAGTGGACAGGTCTTATTATTTTGATAATTTGGTGGCTGGTAGTTTTCACTCCAGATCACGGCAATAAGCCACATTGAATTTACCAGAGCTCAATGTAGCCACTGCATTCTTCCTGGGCAGGCTGTCATGCATGTTTACCTGTAGGCAGTACTGATTGCCTTCACTAACACAATAAACTGATAACTTCAGTACACACCGTAGGGAACGTGTTACAGTATCGCGTTTTTCGGTTACAGTATAGAATTTTCAAGATGGAGGGTTATTTATGGGAAGAGAGGTAGGTGTTTTTTATTCTGGTCCATACTACTAGTAGTTTAGTTTCTAAAATATGCTTTTGTGCCTTCCTTGTAAGGAACAGAATCCGGTATCTAGTCATATATTTCTTCAGACCCTGCACCGCAGATTTATCGCTATATTGTCTCATAAATATGCAGATTTGACAGAAAATTTGAATCGAGAGACCAACGCATTTTTCTCCAATTTCGACATTATATAAGCATGCCTAGAAAAAGTAAATCTGCAAAACGTTAGTCCTTCATGTTGGGAAACGTTTATAAAAGTAAATGACCAGTTGAACCTATGTTCTTGTTCGTTAAATGCGTTTGAAAAAATAAACACTGTTACAGTATAGAGCGAGTTGATTTGTGCAGGGTTACAGCATAGACCTAGCGATTTGTACCCAATTTTGTTACAGTTTATACCCAGATTTCGGTTACAGTTTAGACTTCGATATTTTCCATATATACTAGGTAAAATGTATGAATGCTACATAGACTTTTAAATCTCTGTGAGCTTATCACTGCGAAAAATATACTGATATACGGGAATATACGGTCCCGTATTTTTGACATATACGGGCGTGTACGGGATGTATTCGTCGAATATACGGACCAAGTATACGAGTCCGTATAGGGAACACCGGGTATACGGGAAGTCCGTATATGCATCAGGCATATACGGAATTCCGTATTTGCCCCATATACATGTACGTATATTTGTTCGTACTTTTGAAGTATACGGATAATAAAATCCCGTATACGGACTATATTTAGGTTGCTATCCCTAGTATACTATAAATATACCAAGGATATACGGGACCGTATTTTCTACATATACAGAGGATATACGGACTCGTATTTTCTACGTATACAGAGGATATACGGAACCGTATATTCTACATATACAGAGGATATACGGACTCGTATTTTCCACATATACAGATGATATACGGAATCGTATTTTCTACATATACAGAAGATATACGGAATGGTATTTTCTACATATACAGGGGATATACGGAATCGTATTTTCAATATATACAGGGGATATACGGAATTGCATTTTTTAGTTGTCCACAGGGAATACATAACTGTATTTTCTTGATAAAAGAAGATACAGATAATATCAAAAGCATGCATTTACATATAAGTGACACGTATACATGACCAAAATGCAGACTTGTACAATAGAACATGTTTTATTACACATTTTGAATGGGAACTGTAAAGTCATATGCTTAAGAACGTTATCTTCACAATTGGAGTATTTCAAATAATAAAGTTAAAACCAAATCGAGTCACTCTTAAATATTTATTACTTCATAAACATATATTCAATATGTATACATATATTAAACAAAATAAACATGTCTTCGCTACAACAGTCATATATTGTTGCAAGCCTTATTCCAGAGGGACAAATTAATGTAGCGTTGCAACGGAACGGCGATATACCGGTATGATGCGATACAGAGTCATGAAATACGTATCACAGTGGAAAAAATCGCACTGCGATCTTTTCTTTAGAGATCGAGTTATACATGTACATGTTTCGATATTTTCAAGCCGTAATCTTTATGAATTGCATGTTGTTTAAATGTAGAACAAACTATACCAACTTGAAGTTCGATTCTATTTATCTTAACAATGATTTTTATGAGCCACTTGTATTACACCCATAAAATATTTTTAAGATATTCATATCATTTGTTCGTGTTAACATTCACGTATTATTTTAGGAAAATGAGTCCATAGCACAATATGATTATTACAGAAAGTTTTAAAAATAATCATTAAAACTAAAAATCCGTATTCACAGAAATTCGTCATTCAAACACAGTTCTTAAAAGCACTTAAATATATCAATCATCTATAGGAATGTTACGCAGACCAGTGTGACGGTGTCTATTTCGTGACGTAGGAAATGTTATCTCAAGATATTACAATCTTCTTCGGCATGTGTGTATCTGAAAAAGAGAGTTAAAAATCCTGTTTAAATAGTGTCGTGAAATAGTTATCACAACTTTCAAAAAGACTATACACAAGCATTTTTTAAGCGTATACATTATATGCATTTTTTTCTAACGCAAATTTCAAAATTATTTTATATTATTAGGGTAAAGATGTCATTTATAAGCAACCATTTACACAGGATTTAAATGAAATGATTAATCTATGACGGGTGATAAGTTTTATGTTTTTGTTAAAAAACCTTTACGAATATATTTATTTCACACCTGTAATATAAATGATAATGGTATCTTGTTCTATGTAAAGAGTGTTTTATTGATTAAAAATATATTAATACAAAATAACATTGTATTGGGAAAAAGTGCTGACATAATCTTTTTGATCGTTTTACGATGTATATTAGCATCGTTAGTATGAGTCAATTCGTTTGAAAAAAAGGCTTAAAAAGTACAGATATTTGTTACTCAGATGTAGATCCGTGTTTGCACAATGATATCCAGTTAAGTAAAAGGCGGAATACTCAGCTAGTATACTTCTCATTTATATAAAAAACGTTAATCTTAACAAATTTGGATTATTGTTTGTTTCAATTTCAATTGTTTCAAAAACTATCTCAGCAACGAATGAATACCTTCAATAAACAATAGTGTAAAATTTAATTTTTTTTATTTTTAAGCCCTGTTTAACAAAATAGGAAAGTTGACAATAGAACTCTATTTTACGGGGTTTTCCCTTTCTAAAAATAAATTTTATAATTTTTCCCCGAAATAAATAAAAATCTCCCCCTTCCCCTATACATTAATCTGAATAGTATGAAATAAAATTTCAGATAATAAAATAAAAACGTATCATATGTGAAAATTTCATAAAAAAACCCATAGGAAATTTTTATTTTAAAAAACCAAGGGCAAATGCACTATTAAGTGCGCCCCGTAAAACCCCATTTACTATCAACACAAATTTCACGTGCGCACAAGTACTGTGCGTTTAGTATGATAATTAAGTGACGAGGTGGTCAAGTCCACTATCCTGGTGTAAAACAGATATCATATTGTGTTTATTATCTCCAAACAGGCTAGCTATATAAATTAAATTATCAACAAATTAACCAACTCTCAGAGTAATGCAGTAGGTAAGGTTGTGGTAAATATCAATGCAAGACAACTAGGCTCGGATTGCAACTTTTTCCCAAAAATATTGCTTTATAATTATCAATCAGGTAATGAAAATTTTGTAACATTTATTGTAAAGATTATTAATGCTGTGATATTTTCTATTAACTTCTCATTTTGTTTTAAATGTAGCTATATTTAGCCCTATTTAGCAAGTTGGTGCAAACTTATACGGAATGCATGATACTGTACACAGACTGTTTCAACTATAGTTAAGTTTGCACGAAATACTATGGCACTGCAAAAGTACTATGACTACTACATACTACACACTATACAGGATATCATCCGTGCATGTATATCTAAATTATTAAATATCATAACAAAACTGCCTTTCTATCCTAATTCATTTTTCTAATGTTAAATTAAAAAAAAATATGGAAAGAAAAACGCAAAAAAGTAAGACAACTTGTGAGGCTCGAACTTGTGATAAAATTTAATGTGTATGACATTCTAACTTTTCCATCAAGACATTTCAAATTCTGTTTCTTATCTGACATTATATTCGCTTTGAAAACCCTGTTTTACCTATTAAGACAAATGAGCCGTGTCACGACAAAACCAACATAATGGGTTTGCGACCAGCATGGATCCAGACCAGCCTGCGCATCCGTGCAGTCTGATCAGGATCCATGCTGTTCGCTTACAAACCCTATAACAAGTAGAGAAACTGATAGCGAACAGCATGGATCCTGATCAGACTGCGCAGATGCGCAGGCTGGTCTGGATCCATGCTGGTCGCAAACTCATTATGTTGGTTTTGTCGTGACACGGCTCAAATGTTGTTAACTTTAGTGTACATGTACAAAAGAAAATGTAACGTCACTCTCACATTATCAAAGCGGCGTACTTATCGCTTTACGCACGTAGTAACTAAAAAAATTACTATCATTAACATATATAAAAGTGATTAAACTGTAAAGAAATACATATTTTTTGATACAGTAATATCGAGTTAATTCTTATATTTTATATATTTGATTTTTGCATATTAAAAGCAAGTATGGTTTAGCATTTTCAAATGCGCGGCAAAATGCTTATATCATATATGCCTTAATTGACATCATTTTATGAAGTGTGACATCATTCCGCCTTAGAATTGATTCTAACAAGATATAAAAGAGAATCAATGTATTTATAACTAAGCACATTTATTCTTGTCAAAATAAATGCGTGTAATTAAGGAAATTTGACTTTGCCTTGAGAAAGAATAAAACACATGATGTCAGTACAGAGTGGAATATATGAGTCTGAGTAACTCTTCTTTACAGACAGTACGTCCGTGTAAATGTCTTATTTTATTCACAAAACACAACAATGTATATACGTGAACTTACATCTATATAACTTGCTACCATACTTTGCTTCATCTACAATTGCTGTAAAGAGGGCACAGCTGCATTTCTAGAAGATTTAACTGTCCTTAAAAATCATAATATAACTTCAGCATAAAATGATAAAGAGCACATTGAAAATATTTCATAAGTGATCACATGTGCGAAAGTGTTAATACTGTAGGAACGTGTTCACTTTTATGTGCATGTGTAGTTATGTATTTTGTGTGTTCGTGCGTGCGTGTGTTACTATATTGCTTTATGTGAAATATATGTCAAAATATGGAATGTCGAAAAATGTGTGATGTACAAAGGCTCAATACAGTTTTTTCAAGCGTTTAAATTTATGTATAATGAAGTATTAAATAACTGTTTCCTCAAACAGGCGCGCGCGTGTTTGTGACTGACCCATGCGATATCACCTAATATAATGTTTATCTTAAAAACTAAACAAAGAGTTTTAATTATAATAAGAAAAAAATATTTAAATTTTCATTTGTCCAATAAAAAATCCATTGTAAATGTCGAAAACTCAGTTCATGTATATACAATTTAAAATCTGGGTAATCCTGAATAACGTAGATAAATAACCAAAAATATCGAATGAAAACCAAGAGTTGCCTGTCCTGTATTGCGAGTAAACTCGGTCTTGCTAATTACTATTAATACTAAAACAATACAAACAAAACCGTTTTAAAACTTCTGGTTCGTTGCGATATTTTATATTCACGAGTTTTAAAATTCTTACACCGACAACAGGCTCCTGATATATTCTAACAATACGGATTGTTATACTATGGATCAGATTAAAGGCAATAACGGGATGAACTATAACCCTCAGCAATATGTACAACTACCGTACAGTAATCAGTGTCGAACGCCTGTGTCTGTTATGCCAACGAATTTTACGCAAGAATGTACACAAAATGTCGGAGCGACATCTCCATATGAGTTTCAACGCATAAAACAAGTAACAAATGAGGAATTGATGAAATTCATTAGTGGAAAATTTGAGGAAATGAACACTAGACTCAATAAATTAGAATCGGTGGAGGAAAAGGTTACAAAACTGGATGATAAACTCAATAAGTTATGGTCTGATTTAGATAAAAGAGTGGCTAAAAGTGAGGATAAATTAAGTTCCGTGGAGGACATGGTGGAATTACATGATTTTAATTTGGATAAAACAAAAGAGCAGGTATCAATTTTACAGTCCGAAAATAAGAAATTAAAAGAGACTATTATTGATATCCAAGCTAAGTCTATGATGTGTAATTTGATCATTGGTGGGATCAAAGAATCAAAGGATGAAACAGCCGAACAGACACTTGGAAATGTCAAAAAATACTTTCAGGACGATTTGAAGATCCCCGAGGAAAGTTTGACAACACTAGAAATAGAGAGTGCTAGACGAATTGGCGTTCGAAGACAAAGTAAGCCAAAAAATGTATTAGTTACTTTCAACAACCTTAAGACAAAAAACTACGTAAAATCATTCAAAGATAATGTCAATCCTAGAGAATCTGGACTATTCATGCATGATCAATATCCGCCGGAAGTTGTTTCACAAAGGAAATTACTTGTTCCAATTATGAAAAGGGCTCGAGAGGCAAAAAAGGAAGCATATATCAAATATAACAAACTTATCGTGGATGGTAAAGTGTATACAGATGGTCCGTATGGGACGGTACCGTAGGAATTACAAGAAGGTGTAGTTTCGATTGCCGTATGGAATTGTAATGGCTTATCTAAAGAGAAACAAGAGGACGAAGACTTCTGTAATATAGTATCTAAATATGATATTATTTTTCTTCTAGAATCATGGACATCTAAAGATAGTAATATAAAATTGAAAGGATATGCATCGCACAATTTCTATCGCAAATTTCAACACAGAAATGCACGTCGAAGTAGTGGTGGTATTATGTTGTTTTACAGAGACTATATAGCGAAAGGAATTTCAATTATTAGAAATCACTTTGACACAATCATATGGATAAAGCTGGATAAATCATTCTTTATGTTAGATAAAGACATATATCTATGTGCCACTTATATATGGGGACAAGATTCGCCTGCTTATAATGTATGTAATCAAAATTTATTTGACATTTTAGAAAATGATATAAGCTTTTTTAGTCAACGAGGAACGGTATTGGTTTCTGGAGATATGAATAGCCGAATTGGACTTAAACCGGATTTTATCGAATATGACAGAATGAACTCAATTTTGGACGGAGATGACTACGTGCCAGACATCCCGCTTGATCGCACGTCTATGGATACACAGTTTAATTCTTACGGTTTACAGTTATTAGACATGTGCAAAGCGACCGGTTTAAGAATATGTAACGGTCGATTAGAATCGACAGGACCGTATACATATTGTGGATACAATGGGAGTACTGTTATAGATTACCTTCTTGCTAAACAGTGCAATTTTAAATATATTAAAACGTTTAATATTTCTGATTTTAATATATTTTCAGACCATGCAATTATAGAATTTACTATTTCAATCAACACTATAACACGAGATGATAGCAATTTAAAATCTTTACAGTCAACGAAATGGTCTGCAGATAAAAGAGATACTTTTAGAAGAAGATTGATTGGCAGATTGCCTGAATTAAACAATTTAATAAGCTATTCAGAGGAGGAAATATTTGATAACATCAAAGTAAATGAAATGGTTGACAGATTCGCACAAATAATAAACGAAGAGGCAAAGCCATTGTTTCACAAGGAATTAACCATGCGAAAACAAAATATACAATTTGATACTACAAAAGTGATGAAAAAATCAGATTGGTTTGATGACTCGTGCAGAGAAAGAAAGTTAGAGTATTTGGAAGCATTACGATTATTTAATGAAGTGAAGACAAATGAAAATAGACACCAGTTAATGTTAAAAAAGAGACAATATAAATCTTTGATAAAAGTAAAGCGCAATAGGAGTAAACTTATAAAGATGCGAGAAATTGAAGCACTTAAAAGTAAAAAGCCGTGCGATTTCTGGAAATATTTTTCAAAGAAAAAAACACAACTGAACGAAAACATATCTGTGCAAGAATTCTATGACTATTTTAGGAATTTATCAGATAGCATTAACACTACTACTGATCCAGAAAGCGAGAATTACTGCAATAACCAATATTGTTATGATGACCCTATTTTCGCGGAATTAGATTCTGTAATTACAATTGATGAAGTGCGACATGCAATTAGTTGTTTGAAACGAGGCAAGGCAGGTGGGAGTGATGACCTCATAAATGAATATTTTATTGAAACATGTGACATCATATGCGGGCATCTACGGGATATTTTCAATGTTATACTATCGACTGGACATTTTCCAAATGCATGGATGGAAGGAATCATTATACCAGTGTTTAAAAAAGGAGATGCTAGTATTGTCGATAATTATAGGGGAATAACACTAGTTAGTTCTATGTCGAAAATATTCACATCAATATTAAATAAGAGAATGTCAGACTGGAGTGATAGACATAACATAATATCAGATTCACAATTTGGATTTAAGAAAGGATTATCAACCACTGATGCGATATTTTGCCTACACAGTATAGTTAATCACATGTTAAATAATGGTACACGCCTCTACACTACCTTTATAGATATGCAAAAATGTTTTGATAGTGTATACCGGAACGCATTGTGGTTCAAAATGTCAAAACTGGGAATAAACGGTAAATTGCTCAGGGTCATAAGATCAATGTATGAGCAAGTGAAATGTAGAGTACGTCATGGAAACGAATTCTCGGACTTCATGGAAATAGCAGTGGGCCTAAAACAGGGAGAGATATGTTCACCGTTACTGTGGTCTATGTTTATTGAAGATCTAGAGTTGTACATTGGTTCGAGACCAGAAAGTGGCTTAAAATTTGATGATTTGACTCTGGTGCTGTTTTTATACGCAGACGATATGGTACTATTTTCGGACACTGTAGAAGGATTACAACAAAGTTTAGATGACTTGCTCACATACTGTAGGCGATGGGGATTAACCGTTAACATTGAAAAAACCAAAGTTATGGTTTTTAGAAAGCGTGGACCGTTGCGTGAAAATGAAAAATGGACTTACAATGACACAAATTTAGCTATTGTTAACAATTTCAACTATTTAGGTGTGGTATTTGACTCAAATGGCAATTTTAACTATAATACACAGATGCTCGTCGGCAAAGCGCTTAAAGCTATGAACTGTTTAATGAATAATACTAAGGACTTTGATTTTACCCCAAAGACAATGTTGAGTTTATTTGATTCATTTGTTTCCTCAATTTTAAGTTACTCTTCTGAAGTTTGGGGATTTACTAAAAACAAAGACATTGAAAGGATACATCTAAAATTTTGCAAAAGAATTCTAAATGTAAAATTATCGTCCAGTAGTGTAGCTATATATGGAGAATTAGGACGATATCCGTTGTATGTAAACAGATATGTTAAAATAGTCAAGTATTTTCTTAAGATCAAAAATTCTAATAATTGTATAATAAGTAAAGTATATGAACTGTTATTAGAGGATTTATGTAATAATAAGATTAACTGGGTTTCAAAAGTAAAGAAGTTATTATATGAACATGGTTTTGGATACGTGTTTGAAACAACGTTAACAGTAAATGTGACCCACTTTATATCTATGTTCAGACAAAGACTGGTTGATACATTCACACAGAATTAGAAAGCAATCAAGTATTACATTTATATAAACATTTAGAGCACCAATTTGAATATGCAGCGTATTTGAGTATTTTGTGTAGAAAAAAATTATAGATCTGTTTTTACCAAATTTAGGGTATCCGCACAATGCCTTAGGATTAAAACCGGACGATATGGTCAGAATAGAATTGAAAGAGGTGAAAGAACATGCAATCTATCTAGAGACATTGAGGATGAATTCCATATGATATGTGTGTGTCCCTGCTACAGACTTATACGAAAACGTTACATTGATAAAAATTATTATGAAAGACCATCTATGTTTAAACTTACCCAGTTGCTGTCAACCAGAAATGAAACAATGTTGAATAATTTAGTTTGTTTCCTTAATTGTGGTTTAAAAATTAGGCATAATCTATTACAATAAATAATAAATAAATTATAAATAAATGCTCAATTTATTGTCAAGTACGTTAAGAATTACATGTTAAATGATACTGATATATATTTTTTACCATCTTTTGTCATATGTATAACAGATACTGTTATTTTCAATATTGTATTATATTATTATATTGTTTGACTTGACACAATAATGTATAAGCATGTTATGGATGAGGAGCGAAATGCTCAAATCTAAAATAAAATTCATGTTCTGTTCTGTTCTGTTCTAAGCTTCGTATCAATGTAAAAATAAACATATGAGCCGCGTCACGACAAAACCAACATAATGGGTTTGTATTAATGTAAAAAAAAATTCTGACAATTATTTTCATTTTATTTATTCGTCTAAATGTATAATGATTTAAATAAAAAAAGAAATGTTTGTTTCCTATTTTTGTTTAAGATTTGTATTCATTTAAGAATAGGTTAATATAAATAAGAAATATAACAACATGTGTACAGAAACTTAAAAAAAGTAAATTATTGAAAAGAGCGGAGTCTTTAAATTGACTTATGTTTGCATCAATAATGGGGATTTGTATAAAAATAAAAACTGCGAACATAAAACAAGTATTCTGCGCGTTAAATTATCAAGACTGAGAAACAATTTTATCTTAAAATTTATAAACCTATTTTTTAGAAGTACTAACCAATTTTCTTATAAAATATGTTAATCTGTTAAATTTGATAATTTTTGTTATTATATTGAATAGATAAAACATAACCTATTTTTCGGCTATCAATTTCATAAATTACTATTAAAATAAATAGAATTTGAGTGTCTCTTTTCGATGATCTTTCTTGCACATAATAAATAATTTGATTCGCACCCCTGCTGTTAAGTGATAATTGAGATCGCTCAAGATTATAAAGTCCAATTAGTTGACCAATCAAGCATACATAGGTCGTGTCACACACACTGTTTAATCCCTTTGTACTACCATGTACAGGGGCTGTAATACCTTGACATCTTCGGTGTTTAAATGTCGTTATTTTTAACTCGGTGACTTTTTTACCCTGAAGGGAAGTTATGATTAACGCATTTAACAAATGCCCTTTTCATTTTTTTTGTTTTTGCATTTTTCATACAAATTATTAATTAAACAAGATACAGTTTAGAAATCAAAATCAAACTCGTAACCTCCCAGTCTAAATTTAGGGATATATCCCTGCTTTAATAATCTAATCCGGCGGCCATATTGGATAGCGAAACAGATTAAACAGTGTTAAAGTTTTCTAAAAACAAATCAGTTTAACCCTGAAATAAGCTGTTGTTCACAAAATGCAACTATTCTATTGATCGCATATTGAAATTGCAACGATAAAAAATAACTTTTAACCTACCTTGTTTTGCAATATTCTGAATTTTATTTACTATCCATTTCCAATCCCGTTTTTTCTTTTTTCATTTCGCCCGCGCTATTTCTGATTGGTTGATAGGATTCACGTGATACAAAACCAACGCTTTAAACTCATTGGCTGTTTTGAAAACGCGTGATATGCCTAGATACCGTTTGTAGCATTAACAATGCAACTGATTTATATTAAGGTCGGTGATAATGCGGAAGAAAGCAGCATACTAAGACCTTTATTCGATCCAAAATAATGCAATATTACATGTATTAAATTGGAAATATCATGTATCCATAAACGATAACTTTGCATACATGTATAACATAACCATTGATACTTTTTCATAGGCAAAACTTTGATTCTAATGCTCAATCGGTTATTTTTTTTTTGATAATAATTATAATAATAATAATATTAATAATAAATAATAATAACACTTATGATGATGATGAGGATAGTGATAATAATAATATAATGATGATAATGATGATGATGATGATATTAATAATAATACTACTACTAATAATAATAATAATAATAATAATAATAATAATAATAATAATAATAATAATAATAATAATAATAAAAGACGTTTTAGAAGCGCTAAGAAATATTTATAAATTACACAAATTTTTGTGACAACAACAATAAGCGGGTAAAACAAAAGACCCACATTAAATTTACACATAGGACAAAAGCGATTCTCTGAAAATATTCATTTACATTTGTACTGCACAATATATAATAAAGTAAGCATAAAAACATTCATATCATCAATGAATTATAAGTACGAATTACACAATAATCAAATTAGAACTTTAGTACCTTTAAATTTAAATCTTAATGTAAATTATCTTTTAATACAATTGCATTTATTTGTTAAAATACATCAAGTTCCAGATTTAAACTGACGTGATTCTCAATAGCAATTGTTTGATGGACTGGGGGTGGGGGGGGGGCTTTTGTCCTACGTGTAAATTTTATGGGGGGGGGGGCTTTTGTCCACCTTGTCATTTTTAGATGGGAGGGGGGCTTTTGTCCGTATCCCCATTAAAATAAATAAATTACTTTCTTATACACATAAATGAAGTATAAAGATCCTTTCACATTATCTGCGGATTTCATAATTAAAATAAAACTTTATTAGTATAAAAATATTTGGAGTATCGGTAAAAATTCGAAAGTCCAATTTAAAAAGTGATTTTACTATCAATATATAATTTAGTATGTTCTTAACTTGAGTTTTTAAATCAAACTACGACAATTTTATTTTTTTTTAAACAGAAATTTACTTTTACAAAAACTGTTTCCAAGATACATAATTTTATTTTAACCAGGTAACAAATGCTAATTTACATAGCACGTCCTTAACAATGTTCAAGTCACTGAATTATGCAGAAACACGGCTGATGGGAGACGAGGAAACTCGGGAGATGATGATGATATTTTTCAAGAAATGCTATTTCGAATAATTTGACATCATCTATCAACAATACATGTACATACACCCCAGTGACATCCATCTGATTCTAGCTTGTGAACTTAGATATAATTGGACCTGGCGGCAGGGTACTTCAAAGTTTACATTAAGATAAATCTTAATTGTGTCATGTTTAAATGACGAATTCCGCCAAATTAAAGGATAACAACAACACGACGCTGCAAAAGCATTGGAAAGAATACAGCAGCTATGTCTGTTTCATTTTGATATGTCGGGTTAGAGTCTTTATAATATCTAGAACAAAATCACATAGGATTACAATTTAATTCCCTTATTTCGTACATGAATTATATTAGAAATTGACAGTAAAAAATACCGTTAAGACATTCAACACCAATTGCGCTATTTACCTAACCGGAGAAAAACCGACACTCGATATACCCTGCTGCGTTTATGATCAATATCCGGATCAATATCCGGCTTAATCAGTATTGTCTTCGATTATAGCAATACAGCACGTGGCTATTACACAATATTATGTCATAAATGAGACCGCGCGAAAAGAAATCAAAATTGGGGAATTCGGAACTTCATAAGATTTCTATTCAAAACTTGTGTACAGAAACGCAAATCTTTGTTTCCTGAAAAAAAAGATTAAATAAATAAATAAATAAATAAATAAATATATGAATAAATGAGTAATGAATGAATGAATGAATGTATGAATAAATAAATAAATAAATAAATAAATAAATAAATAAATAAATAAATAAATAAATAAATAAATAAATAAATAAATGATTGGTTGATTGATTCAATGCATGAATGAATGAATGAATGAATGAATGAATGAATGAATGAATGAATGAATGAGATATCATTGTTTGTTTTTTTACATATGCAAGTACATGTATTATATTATGTTCATTCTTATATTACACAAATGTTATATTGAAATTAAAAAATAAAATGTGAAAAAAATGTGTATATTATATATATTATAATCCATCAAATCTTGCCCAATAAGTGGTGGGGTTTTGTCCACTCTGTGAAATTTAGTGGTGGGGTTTTGTCCACTCTATAAAATTTAGTGGTGGGGTTTTGTCCACTCTACAAAATTTTGAGTGGTGGGGTTTTAACTGGTGGGGTTTTGTCCGTCTTCCATATTATGTTTAGCCTATTTTTATAGGACATATATCAACGTAAAATTTAATTGCTGTGTGGACAATCCCGATTTCATCTTCGTGATTTCACAATTATTTTAACTTTCACGATTTCAACTTCACAGATCCACGATTTTATTATAATTAATTCATGTTTTGAACATCACAATTTCAACTTTATCATTTTCTAATGTTTGGCTTATCATTATAAAATATTATAAGGATAATGAAAAGGAAATTACAAAAATAACATGATTCACCATAGATGCAAAATGCAAAACAGTACTATCTAATCGTGAATCGCAATTGTAAAGTATTCGCTATTTATCTGCGGGTGTATGCTAAAAAGCAAACCACGCGGTATTGAGCTAGAATACCGCGTCTTCATGTTACAGGTGGATGTCTTACACGTTCTGTGCACTGACGATATTATTTGTACGCAATTGACGAGTTAATATCTCCAGGAAATTTTGCATTGTGTTAATTTTCAAAAGTCTGAAAATATAAAAATCAGAAAATTTTTTACTCTTTAAAGGGAAAACTTCAGAAGTAAATTTTTTATTCGCACTTCTATAACAGAATCCCTATTTTTCAAAGGAAAACGGAAAATTTCGGGATTTT